TTTAATTTCTATTTGTTCTCAAATTCTTTTCTTATTGCATATTGTAAGTTTGACGATGAAAAGGTGAACCCAAACAAAAATCAAATTTTAATATCAATTTGTTCGAAAATTCTTCCTTATTACGCATTCTAAGCTTGCTTGACGATGAAAAGATGAACCCAAACAATCCTATTTTAATATCAATTTGTTTATAAATTCTTCCTTATTGCAAACTTCTAATATTATTAACTAATATAATTCAAGATCGTTCACCTTACGTTTCTCGTTAAATTCATATTTTAATAATGATCATCATACTGTCACTACGATTGATCATAAATCATCGTCATCGTCATCGTCATCGTGAAGTTGAATAGGGGAAAAAGTGAAGGAAACAAAAAAAAATAAAAAAATATTCTAGAATTGAATTGGATCCATTGGATTTGGAAAAGATAAAAGATAGTTGATTATCTTCTTTCTTTCTCTTTCTCTCTCTCTCTCTCTCTCTCTCACTCTCTTTCATCATAGAATCGGACAAATGCGTGCTGAGCACGTATCGACTCGATAGGGAGAGAGGAAATGCCTGTGAGAGAGAGATGATGGACACCCATTACCTCATCAAGATCATCAGAGTTGTAATAATGGGTAGCGCACTTACAAAAGAAGAATGTGATCGAGGGTAGGAGTGGGTGGGGGGTAGGGGAGGGGGAGGATCCAAGCTATCCAACGTCAATGACGTTAATGTTCCTCTTATTTCTTTTATATTCTTTTATCCGTCAAATTCTTTTACCGAAAATTAGGATCAATATCGTTTCAAATGATTTGTAGAAAAATAATTAATGACAAAAATTGAAGAAAAAAAAATTGACAATAGTCATCACAAGTGGTGGGTGCGGGTGGTGCATGTGAAAGTGTGTTTATCACAAAAATTTAATACTAAAAAATGTATTCTATGAAAGTAATGTTTATTTAATGAAAATGTATTGATTATATTTTGTTAAATTATATTAGAATTAAATTAAATCATTTAGAAATTCAAATGTAGGTGTATATAATATAATAATTACGTAAATTTAATGGAAAAAAAAAAAAATTGTTAATCCATTCGAGACTCATTTGCACACACCGTGTGTGTGTGTGTGTGCAATCATACTAAACTATTATCAGTTATTTTGAGTTACTTTTTCTTTGGTATAAATAGTATCTTTGAAGTATAAAAAAAACAACATTTTTTGAAATTGTAATATTGACAGTATTATAAAAAGAAAAGAAAAATGGGTTCTTGGAAACCGTGTTCGAAAACAAAGTTGTGCTGTCTCGAATGGTTTAAACAAAATTAAAAATTTCACTAAAAATTGAATCGTCAATTGTAAAAATAAAAATAAAAAGAAAAAGAAAAATAGAATATTGAAGAGCAAATGAATAAAAAAATGACGCAAAAGAAAACACCGTTAAGAAAGACATCGTCAACTTTGAATTCAAATCTAAATTATATGGTCCGGTAAGATGATTTTTTTGTTTCTTTTTAAAATATTACCACTCTCTCTCTGTCTCTCTCATTTTCTTTTTCTTTTCCCTTTAGCTTTGAAATTTCGCGAAATGTTTTTGCGTAAAATTCAAATGACACCTTAGCAATCTTTTTCTTTATTTATCTTTCGTTAGAAAAGAAGAACGGTGAGAGTGGGTGGTTAGTTGAGGGGGGTTACATGACTAACGAAATCACCAGTCTTTTTCTCTCTCTCTCTCTCTCTCTTTCATTTTGTTCTCTTGCAAAATTTCTTTCGCAAGTTTAACGATCCCAACTATAATAATCACAGACTATCTCTCATTTTCTTCCTTTCTTTCCTTTTTTATTTTCTCATTGTCTTTAGAATCGAAAGGAAACAGGTTATAGTATTTTTCTTTTTTTTTTTTTTTACGTGGGGAATATTGTTTCTTCAATGATTAAAAAAAAAAAAAATAAAACAAACAAATTAAACACCGATCACTCGCAAAAATAAAAAGAGAATGAAATATAACATAAACTACAATTAAAAATATAAATAAAAATATAACGTATATGATTGAAAAAATGAATTAACTTATTTTGGTACTCACGTTATTATTGATCTTCCTTTACTCTCAAAAAAGAACTCGTCTTCAAAACGTAGATTGAATAGCAGCTGCAAAAGTTAGCAGCAGCTGTGAAATGGCAGACAGGGGCAGTCGACAGGCCGGTCTTCTGATTCTTCCCTTTGTTTCTTTCCTTCGAATTTGACGTGAGAAAAACTCCGCGAGAAGAAGAAGTAGATCAAATAAAAAGGGAAACAAATATATATATATTTATATATATATATTTAAAATAAATATATATATATATATATATATATATATTTATATATATTTATATAAATTCACGAAATGGTCGTCACGCGCGTGCGATAAAATGCTCGTTTGCTAAAAGGACCGTTGATGATCGGGATGAAGGTTGGGTCGTGTGTCGAGATGGAATTGTTCGGGCCTTGCTTATATACCCATTTACCCACTCGAACCCAGCCGGTAGTATAGTACACAGGGGCCCCTCTGCTATACTCCTTCACAAGGGAGGGGCCCCTCTCTTATTTTTTTTTTCTCTTATTATCTTTTTTTTTTACAATCTTCTCACTTCTTCCCTTCTTAAACATCTTCTTCTCTTTCTATCTATCAATGTATCTTTCTTTATCTATTTATCTATATATATATATATATATATCTATCTTTTTCTTTCAACCAATGTTTCCGCGTCTTTTACTCTCCTGTCCCCTTTCAACCTCCCCTTCCTACCACCATACCATTACCATCACCACCACTTCTACCACTGCACTACCCCCCTTCTTCTTCTTCTTCTTCTTTTTCTCCCCTCTGTTACCCCTTCTCACTCTGCTCTTCTACCACCTCCCGTTCTTCATTCTTCCTCTCCTCTTTCTCCTCTTTCTTCTTTTCCTACTGAACACAACGCCGCCGTTCTCCGATTCAACTTCTTTCCGTTCTCCGGCCCACGCCGTCTACCGAGAGATCAAGACACGTAACATCATCATAGTCCAAATCGAAAGAAAGAAAGAAAGAAAGAAAGAAAGAAAGAAAGAAAGAAAGAAGCAGAAGAAGGAGAATAAGGAAAAAAAAAATGTTTAGAAAGATTCAGGGGAAGAGTTAGATTTTTTTTTTTTTTTGAAGATTTTTCGTATCTTTTTTAGGAATTTTTTTCTTTTTTTTATTATCTTCTTCTTAGTTTTCATCGTCAAAAATTATTATTCGTTATTATTTATTTAAATTCATCAGGCATTTATCTTTTTAAATCTTCTTCAACCCTTTTCTATATTTGTTGAAGATTTTTATGTCTTCTTTATGAATTTTTTCTTTTTTTTTATTATCTTCTTCTTAGTTTTCATCGTCAAAAATTATTATTCCTTATTATTTATTTAAATTAGTTAGGTTTTTATCTCATGAAATTTTATTTAATACTTTCTATGATTTTATATTATATTTTATTGAAGATTTTTCGTATCTTTTTTTAGGAATTTTTTTTTTTTTTTATTATCTTCTTTTTAGTTTTCATCGTCAAAAATTATTATTCTTTATTATTTATTTAAATTTATCAGGTATTTATCTCGTTAACTGTTCTTTAATTCTTTGTATTATATTTTACTGTTTTCGTACGATTCAAATAAATTTGAACAATTAACGAAAGCATATAATATTAATTATAATAATATTTTTCTTCTTATTTAATCTATTTAAAGAATATAATTTATTTCATAAATCTAATTTATATATAATACATTTAATAAATTAATTGTGTGTTACGATCTATCAAAGAAAGGGTCTTCTATATCATTTTATAGTTTAATTTGTTTTACATCGTATTACGTATAAAATTTGTTTCAATAGAATAGTTTCTTCAGATATTATTTGTGTGTGTACTATTTTTTATACTATGTTTTTTTTTTTTTTTTCATTTTCTTTTTTAATCAATGAGAATGATATTTTTTGTTCACAATCGATGCAATACACTTTTGTTCGTTTATTATTACTATTATTATTATTATTTTGTTCTTACATAAAATAGAAAAAAAGGAACACAAGAAAACATATATATATATATATATATATATATATATATATATATATATATATACATATATTTTTACGGAAGTATCTTGTTAGATAAAATTTTCCAATGAATTAATATTGAGAATAAACTATCTGTAAAATATTATATATATATATGGTATTTTTATTTATTTATTCGCGTATTATGGGTTCGTGTTTTTTCTTTAGAAAAATTTCCAAAAAGTATGTAAATTTGACGTTGTTATATTTGTATGACGAATATGACGAATATGTTGAGGATGCTGAGTATAACGAGGATGATAACGTGACGATGATGAAGATGATCAATGTGACGATGAAGATGTACAATGTGACGATGTGACGATGAAGATATGATTCATCATCGTCAGATAGGAACAGATAAAATCACGTAGGCGCACGTCGTTCTCTCTCTCTCTCTCTCAACACTTGCACGCACGTGTCATAATTTACGCATACGCCCTCGATTCGCGAGTTACACGAGCGTGTTTGCGCACGCGTGTCACGTCATTATGTAAACATTGAATGAACGCGTGCGACGAAGGAAGAATCTTTCTTCTTTCACGCAAATCGTTTTCATGTGCAAAAAAAAAGAAAAAAAGAAAACAACAAAACAAGGGGGTGGTGTTGTATATGGACTGTGGTTTACGTATTCTCGACCAATGGTGTTTTTTTCTCCTTTTATCCCATTTTTTTTTTTGTTTTGTTTAAATCTAAAATTTAGAATTCTTTTTATTACAACTATAATTTATTCTTCAATTAGATTTTAACAATATTTCATTTTTATTTAATTTAATTTAATTTCATAAATGTTTTCATAAATTATTTAAGGTATGTTTGATTTTAATTTTCAACCTAACGAGATACTTCGTGTGTACCATTTTTTATTTTATTTTATTTTATTTTATTTTTTTTTTTTTAATGAAATTAATTTAAATATACTAAATTGTAAATTGTAATTTTATATATAATTAATTTTTTAATTTAATAATTAAATTCAAATTTAATATATACATATAATAAATATATACAGGAATTTTGATCAATTAAATAGTGAACAATATACATTTTGTTTTTACATAGAAATAAAAAGAATTTTATGCGTTTTCAGCGTATGTTTTTTTTTTTCTTTTTTTTTTTACAAATTAGAGGATTCTTACAAATGACCATATTTTTTACGAACTACCGGATACGGTCAATTACGTTGGTACGTCAATTGTTAGGTTAAAGTATTTAAAGTGTCTCACCTTTTTTTTTTTTTTTTGATATATAATGATGCATCAAATTAAACTATGCACGATCCTCACATCTTATAACAAAAACAAAAAAAACATAATTTTTTATTAACAAATCTAATTTTCATTAACTCGACTATTTACTTGTCATTTTAATTAATATTAAATGTTAAATATGATTCATGTCATGTTGTGTCATCGTTGTATCACTGGTTGGTACACAAAATCTAATTAAACATAGTTAACCGTGTACAATCATTGATATAAAAAAAAGCAAAATAAGAATTAACAAAATTATGTAACAAATTTAAATTAAATCTGTAAAAAGATTTGATGATTAGTAATAAAATTAAATAATTAATTTAATAAAACAGATTAGTAATAAAATTAGTACCATTAAATTTGTAAAACAATTTGATGATCAGTAATAAAATTAGTACCATAAAATTTGTAAAAATAATTTGATGATTAGTAATAAAATAAGTACCATTAAATTTGTAAAAATAATTTGATGATTAGTAATAAAATAAGTATCATTAAATTTGTAAAAATAATTTGATGATTAGTAATAAAATTAAATAATTCATTTAATAAAATAGTAAACGTTTATTATTTATTTCTTTCTTGCAATAAAATTGATTAAATAAAATAATAAAATGAATTAGTAATAAAATTAGTACCATTAAATCTGTTAAAAAATTGTTGGTACTAAAATAGGTGTCAAGATTATCCATAGTACAATCATGTTAGTTAAAACTGTAATAATTCAAGAAAAAAAAGAATCAAACTGAAATTGTATATTAACTCCCTTTTAAATTCTGACGCAACCCTTTTTCTTTTTTCTTGTTTTTTTTTTTTTGCTTTTTGTTTTTTTATTTTCTGTTTCTATTGAACTATAAAATTGACTGACTATTACCAAGAAACTATTCGCGAGCTAAGAATAGACTTTAAAGTTTAGCCCTAAGGGGAGAAAAATTCTTCATCTTTTACTTCTATTTTTCTTTCTTTTTTTTTTTTTTTTATTTATTTATTTATTTTTTTTTTCTTTCTATCTTCTTCTTCGTCTTCTTAGCAAATCCCTTTTTCCTTCCTGGTTATTCTCGAAGCTTCTACGCTATTTCGAGTAAAACGTTTTACAACCGGTGATTGCCAACCGTTACGTACCGTTAGAAGACGACGCCATAATCGATATTGACTACTCGCTATATATCTTCCTCTCTCTCTTTCTCTTTTTCTCTCTCTCTCTCTCTCTCTCTTTTTCTCTTTCTCTTTCTCTCATTCTTTCTCATATCTTTTTGCTCATAATCGATCTACTGTATCCCCCCATTGGAAGAAACATTTCTATGGTATGGAAAGAAAAGTAACAAACGATGAAATAAACGAGATGAAAAAACTAAGTGCATATAAGATAAGATAAGATAATTTATAATGATCTTCAAAGAATGAAGATTGGTTAAATATTATACAGGTAAAGAGCCCTTCTGTAACAAGCTTTTACTATAACACCAAAATTGTAAGGAACTTTCTTATAATATGGTTTTTGTTATAAGATGATTTATAAATTGGTAGGAATGTTTTGTATAAGATTGTACTTTTACAGTACTGAATAATATTATTTTTGTGTTTAATATATGTAAACAAGTTCATTACCTAAAAGAAATAATGAAAATTCAGGGTTTTATGTAATACAGTTTATAGTTGTGAACATTTTTATAGGACACTTTACTTTTACAGTACTGTATAACATATTTAGAAAATGAAATTACCCAAAGGAAATAATCAATTCAGTGTCTCATATAATATGATTTATACTTATATATATATATATATATAGAACTCTTTATATTACACTGTACTTTTACAGCACTGTATAAAATAAATGTTTCTTTAACATATTTAAGAAATGAAATTACCCAAAAGAAATAATGAATTCAGGGTCTCATGTATAACATGATTTATATATTGCGGAATCCTTTATATGACACTGTACTTTTACTGCACTGTATAACATAAATTTTTCTGTAACAAATTAAATATTTAAAAAAATTATATTACTTCAAAGATCTAATATAACACAGTTTATATATTGCAGAACTCTTTATACAATATTGTACTTTTACAGTACTGTATAACATAAAT